CGCGCCGGTCGCTTTGCGGGAATCTCAAACGCTTCGTAAAAGCGCCGCATCGTCGAATCTCCGCGACCGGCTCCAAACCACACCCATTCATTCCTTTGGCGCGCACTTGCCCGATACGCTAAGTCTCCCAATTTGTCGGATGTCGCTCAATCTCCGTACTCGCCAAATCCATACCTATATTTTCTTCCACGTAATCTCTCAAATCGCCGAATCTCACAAGTCGCCGAATCTCCTCAGTCGCAAAGTATGAACGGGACCGCCGCGTCGCGTGCCGTGCCTCTACTACAGTAGCACTGGTAACCCCAAAGCGCGGGTAATCAACAAAGTTGTTAAGCAAACCTGGTTTGGTGACTCCTGCCCCTCGCCAGGAGAAGTTGCTCGTTCCTTCGTCATTTGTGTACGATAAGCGAGTTCTAGGCGAAATGCTCCTACTGGAGTTGGAAATCGTCCGAGTTCTAGCCTTTTCGCTTCACTGCCGAGGTCTAACTCCGTGAAACCTTCAGCCAGTTTGTACAAAATAACAAATGTATCACAACTCTGCTTCTTCACATAGTACCTGCAAAAATTCACCCTCACATAGCGAATTCGAGCATTGAAGCTCACAAGTTTTCGAACTCGAAATTCGTTCCTTTCCTGGTGAGGGAAAATCCAAAATGACAAAAAAAATCTCAAGAGTATGATAATCTCTGAAAAATTAAGCCCACCTATGCAGTGGAGTCATTCTTGCTGCCACCATTGCACTCCGAAGCATCACACTAAGCTGCAGATATAATTGAGATTTGATATCATCTGCCCATATTGTCCGTTGTTCTTCTTCATCAATTGAAAATGCCCTGGAAGAATGAGTTAACAAAGCATATCGAACAAAGCATATTTCTTGAATTCTCGGACGACAGCCTTTCTCATTCATAGTAAACGAAGAGAAACGAGGACTTCTGGCTTATCTTTCATTTGACCCTCCCCCCCATCAAGCAAATGTTTTAAATAATGTAAATTTGAAAAACTTCGCTTTCTTGAAATGTAGGGATGCGTAGCCGTTGGGAGCACAGAGTTGGGGATACCTCTATTGTTCATTATATCGGGCACGTGAGGAACGGAGGCTACACCATACCTTGGACCGCTCCCATTCGCCTCGGGGAAATAATGGTACGCACTGACATTTTTAATACTCGTTGGGCCCTGCGGGGGTGCCGCCAGGATCTGCGCGCCGCGCGTCGGTCGGTGCTGGCGCTCGTTCGGCGCGTATGCTCGTGTAAAAAAAGTGCGAAGGTCGCTGTGTTTTAAAAAAAAACTCTCAAACCACCGACAGTTTATTACAACCTATATTGGAGCGTGCAATTTGACCCTTCATAAGGAAAGGAGCAAAGGAAAGATCGAAAACGTGCAGAATAGGCTTGGGTCTGATTTTTAGCAATGTGCGAGAATGCAGGGAATCGAGACACAGAGACGCTCAGAGACCTGCGGTAGACTAACGCGGCACTGCAATTTACAACGCCTCCCACATAGCGGGAGGACAATCGGGCGCTCTTCGCTTCGAGGAAAGGGGGAGAAGCGGCAGTAAACTTTATTCCTGTTTGCAGATTCCTAACGAAATACATTTGTGCAGCATCCTTAACAAAATATTTGTGGCCCCTGCTGCGTATGTCCCGCCTAGATAAGAGCTGCCTTGACAATGGTAAACATAGCTCTCGTTAAGAATTTACTTTAGCTAGTTTTGCAGGAAGTTACAGGTCTCCACAGGAGGCACTGGCATTGATCGATGGAAACCACCGAAAATGCCCCATCAGCCGTACTGCGTCCGAAATGAGATCAAATGCCCAAGGCATGTGCATGAGCAAAACTATGGGAGAGGGCGGCGTTTCTGTTTAATTCCATAAGTAAGCCTTACCGCCCTTGGTCATGCACGATGACTGTAGAACGTAAAATCACTTCGGGCGGCGCGAGACGCAGTACCCCTGTATCGCACAATACACAGAACGTGTCGCTTGATCGTTTTCAAAACTCATTTCCCGAGTAGAGTCTGCCTCTTGCGGCCATTCTTGTTTTTTGTTTTTGAACATGCTCGTTTTCGTGGATTGCGTAGATCCGTACGACCCTCTTATCAGAAGTCCATAGCCCAAAATAAACTGACATCAATCATCACTGAAAAATAAACCGACAGCATCGCTGTTTATCTGATATACCTCGAGAAATTTTGGATGTAATTCACTGAGTGGGTGTAATAGAACACAACAGCGGAAGATTGGACGAAATTAATACAAAAATGAGAAAACATCCAACGTACCAGGTTTCCATGGGCAATATTTCGCCATCGCAAGTATACAGCATAAAATCAATTGACATACATTTTGCCACCGGCGGAAAACTGAAAACGTGAAATCGCAAGTCATTTGAACCTCGAAATAGTGCTCCTATTAATTCTTTATTTTCCAAAATTTCTCTCTTGACCGGTTTAAGAAGCAGGAATTTCTGAGGAGTGTGAGATACTTCAGAGCCTTCACGCTCTTGCGGTTACTTTTCAAGGGACTAAACATTAATCCAGCTCGACATCGAGACATTTCAGTTTTCCTCTTCCCTTTTTTAATTTTTACCACCTCGAAATATTGCTGAAACCACTGTACTGCTCACCTGCTAATACTGCGTTTCACTTGAGCCGAGACTTCACCGAGTTCATCAATTCGAAGATTGAACCAGTCAGGACTGCTAGAAGGTAGCGTACACTCTAGATCATATTTCTCATTCGTCCGAGACTGAACCACCACCTATAAGGTTGAGGATGAGTTCAACGGCAACAGAAAATGAACTCGGTGATTTCATAGAATCATCTAAAACCATGAAAAACCATCAAAAATGAAGTTCTATGAAAGCTGTGTACCACGACCTGAGCAATCACAAAACGGAAGCTGAGCAACCTTCTTTCACCCCCCTGCCCCTCAATCAACATTCCTACTTCCCTCGACTTGTCTATGTATTTCTTCTTTTATACAAGTAGCATATCTTGCCAATTTATACCGCACTCGAACATTTCCTCCTTGACTTTAAGAAGAAGCTCCGCCACTACATATATTGGCGTTCAATTACAAGCCTATAGTCGCTAAAAGGTTCTCCATGGAAAAAAAAGCCCAAAAAAAACATGGTGAGCACCTAATTAAGGACCACAAGCAGCCTCACTGTACAAGTTTTCTGGGCCTTCTCGTTTTATGCTACTGAGATATCCTGCTGCCTCTGACACATTAATCGCTTTTCGTCAAGCAATGCTGATATCATCTAACAGTGTAAAAGAAAAATTGATAAAGAAAACTGTACTCGTG